CAGAAGGTGAAGAAGGAGCGCCTCGGCGAGGGCTCCCCTGGGCCCCCCGTGTGGGGCTGGAGCAGGTGGTGTCGGAGGATCGCGCCGCACCGCGGATGCATCGGCGATGCGGCGCGATGCGCGGTTCCGAAGCCCGATGCTCGTCATCCCGACGTCGCCGGTGCATCGCCGATGCATCGGCGATGCGGTGCTGCTGTCCTCCGACCCCCCGTCTGCTTCAGCTCCACCTGGGAGGCCTCCAGACGGGGGGAGGCTGGTGAGTTCTGGCCCGATGACGCACCCAAAGCCAGCCAAACAGGAGCGCGATCAGCAGGCTGGTGATCGTTTTCTTATCCATTGTTCTGCCGATCGGCGCGGGCGGCCCTCGCCCCCCCGCCATAGAGCAGACCTCGGCTGTTTTTGGCGGCTGTTTCGAGCAGGTGGGGTCCCCCCCCCCAGGACGCGCTGTCGCAAACAGTCGCACTAAGCAGAGGTCTGGAGCCAGACCCCCCCACCCTCCCCCCTTCCGCCCGATGCCGAAACGCCGAATAAGAAAACGCTCACTTGATCGACGAGTGGTGAAGCGTGGAGCGCCGCAGGGAAGCATCGCCACTCAGAGCGTGCCAACGGCCCGACGTTGGTCTCCCTCCAGAGCGCAACTTCTTTTCGGTCTCCTTCCCAGATCCCGTGGGGCGCCACCTGAAGTGCGGGAAATCAGCTCCTGAAGTACGCATTGTCCTGAGTAGACCCCCGACGCGCGCAGCTTCTCGTGCGAGGCCATGGCCTCGCCCGCCTCGCCCTTCAGGGGCCCGGGCGCATGCCCGCACCGGCGATCCGCTCCGTTCCGCTCCGGATCCCGTGGGGCGCCGCCGTGGCAGCCCGGCCGGGGGGCGCGCCGGCAGGGCAGCACGAGCACGAGAACGCACGCCGAGCGCGGCGCTTCCGCGGGGGCCTCGGCCGCGGGCGGCCCGCCCTCCTCTAATGACCTCCCGCGCGCGCCTGGCGAGGCTGGGGAGGGGGAGGAATCGGGGGGCTCCCTCCTCCTTCCTCTCTCCTCCCTCCTCCCTCCTGCCTCCTCCCTCCTCGCCACCCCACTTCAGGGGATTTCATTGGAACGCCGCGATGTGGACTCCGCCCTCTAGGTAGGCAAGAGGCAAGAGGAGGATAAGTAGCAGGAGGAGGAGAAGGAGGAGGAGGAGAAGGAGGAGGGGGTGGGAGAGAGGGAGGGGGAGGATGCTGTGGAGGAGGAGGAGGAGGAGGAGAAGGAGGAGGAGGAGAGGAGGAGGAGGAGGAGGAGGAGGAGGAGGAGGAGGAGGAGGAACATTGGATTGGCCCCGTCGCATGCACTATTTATCTTGCAAGCCTCAGCGCCGTGCCACAAACAGGGGCACGAGAGGGCCCAGCACTATTGCGTGCCCGCCGCAGGGCCCGGGCGCTTGAGCCCCCGCGCCAGGTGAACGACGCATAGATGGTTTCCCCACTTGCGGTCGGACATGTTGGCTTAGCGTGTCGCTCCGTTGGTTCTGGCCCACCACGCTTCGGTGTGACACGCTATGCATGTTTCAGTCCCTCGGCGTCATGTCCCGAGCTTGTCCTTGAGCGGAGCGACGCGCGACTCGCTCGCAGGGCACAGCGTGTCGCCGGGGCCGCCGCCGCAGCGCCGCAGCACGCCGTGCAAACGCTTCTGACCGTCAGCAGTTCGATTTTCCCCGTACTCCCCCAAACCCATCGTTTGCTGCGCTCGGCTGTGAAACCCGCACGGACGGGGAGGTGGATGAGGGCGGAGTGGGATGAGAAGGCATCGTTTTGCGTAAGTTGTCTGATTGTTCCGTAGTTCTGCCACGGTGCCTGCTTCAGCTGTTGGACGGACTCAACGGGGCGATATGAGCCCACTAGTGTCGTGGCGCATGAGTTTCGCGACCTAAGTAGGCACGCGCGCGACAGCTACAGCAGGGATTGGAAGACGGTTGAAGTGCATACGCGTAAATTTTTTGGATGTCCTGGCGGATTTCTGGGATTTGTGCTGGAGCCCCCTGGCCGCTATACTCTGGCGCCGCCCCTGTCGCACACCTCCGTGGGGCCAGTTTTTTTCGCCCCGGTCCAGATGATCCCTGGGCCCAAGAGCGGCTCCAGAGTCCGAAATCGAGCAGCACGGCCAGGATTGAAAAGATCACGTCGCCGGAGATTTCGGTGCTCCCCTCGGCCGTCGGGCCCAGGAGACGTCCAACGACATGCGCCTGGCGCTCTTCGGCCTGTACAGGCAGGCCACCGAGGGCGACGTGAGGCGGGCGCGCGCCCTAGCCGGGCGGGCCTCGGTCGCGCCGTGGGCGTGGGGGGGGGGAGGCGTCGGGAGGGGGGGGGGGCAGAGAGGGGCCTCCTCCTCCTCCTCCTCCTCCTCCTCTCCTCCTCCTCCTCCTCCTCCTCCTCCTCCTCCGCTCAATCCTTTCTCCTTCTTCCTCCGCCCTCCTCCTCCTCCTCCTCCTCCGCTCCGCTCCTCCTCCTCCTCCTCCTCCTCCCCTCCTTACTCCGCCTCCTCTCTCCTCCTCCTCATTACCCCAAATCCTCTCCTCCTTCCTTCCTCCTCCTCCTCCTCTCCTTTCATCCCCACTTACGACTCCCCACTCCTGATTCCTCAATCCTCACTCCTCCCTCCCCACTTCTTCTCCTCCTCCCCCTCCTGCCGCAGCGCGCCTCCGCGCGTCGCCAGTCAGCGCTCGCGACGCGTTGCGCGCGCAATGCGCGCGCGGCGCCCTGCGTGACCGCAAGGCCCCCTGGCCCCACTAGGGGGCCGACACTTCCGCTTGAGAGGAAGAGAGGAAGAAGAGAGAGGGGCCACCATACCATCCTACAACCTGAGGCCTGAGGCCCATCAAGGGAGGGGGAGGGGAGGGGAGGGGAGGGAGGAGGGAGAGGCCCGCTCATCGCCCCTACAGCGTAATTGATGTAGACGTGATATCTTGTCAGAAGCGAAATACTTAAATACCCCTGCCCATACCGCCCTGCAATGGAAATAAAGTATAGGAGGGCCCTATAAAGAGGCAACTTGGAGGGAGGGTGTCTTGCATCATCGTTCATGCGCCTTGGGCTTAAACTGGTGCGCCTCCTCCTCCTCCTCCCTCCTCCTCCTCCTCCCTCCTCCTCCTCCTCCTCCTCCTCTTCCTCCTCCTAGGAGGAGGAGACAGAGACGGAGGAGGAGGAGGAGGAGGAGGAGGAGGAGGAGGAGGAGGAGGAGGAGGAGGAGGAGGAGGAGGAGGAGGAGGAGGAGGGGGGGAGGGGATGAGGGAGGAGGAGGAGAAGGATGAGGAGGAGGGAGGAGGAGGAGGAGGAGGAGGAGGCAGGAGTGAGGGAGGAGGAGGAGGAGCGGAGGGAGGAGGAGGGGAGGAGGGGGAGGAGGAGGATGAGGAGGAGGGAGGAGGAGGAGGAGGAGAGGAGAGAGGAGGAGGAGGAGGAGGAGGAGGAAGGAGGAGGAGGAGGAGGAGGAGGAGGAGGAGGAGGAGGTCTGAAGAGGGGGACGGGTTGGCTCGTGGGGTCCGGCCGGGCGGGGTGCGCGGAACCCCGCGGCTCCCTGCCGCGAGGGGCCAGCGGCCGAATTTCTTCTCCTCGGAGAACAGGGCCAAGTACGACTACTGGGCGAAGCACCGGGGGATGTCCAGGACGCCGGCTGGGGGGGGGGCGTCCCAGATCTCCAACGAGATGTTTTTTCCAGTCCTGGCGTTTTTCCTCGATGGCGGCCCCGGGGCGTGTCATCGGGCCCCGGGGCCATGAACCGTGGATCGGGGGCGAAAAACGTGAGAGTTCGGGCGTAAGGACGTACGGTTTTACCTGGCCGGGGCGTGAGGAGGGTGCCCGTGCTCTCTTTCTTGGGGGCAGCGATCGGGGGGGGGTAGGCATAGGGAGGGATGCATCGACCCCCAATCGCCTATTGATTGATCGCCGATAGGGGGCCCGATAGCACCACCCCGCCCAGGAAGGTGCACTGTCGGGGGCCCATCGCCGACCTATCGACGATGTATCGCCGATTCCAGGTCGATGCATCCCCCCTATGCCTATCCCCCCCTATCGTTGCCCCTCGTTTTCCCTCTGCGGCCCATTTGGGCTCAAGGTTTGCCCGAGGCGCCCTGCGGGCCCCTGGGGGCGGCTCCTGGCGAGCCGCCCAGCCTGGCGCTGCGATCGCGCGGGGCCGGCGCCGCTGGCCCAGCAGCTGGGCGGCGTTGCGCCCGAGGGCCGCAGGGAGCCGAGGTGCTGCCGCGCGGGCGCGGAGTTGGAGCGCAGCGCGGGCTCCGAGAGCCCCAGGTTGCGCAGATGGCCGCTGTCGTGCCCATGATCATCGGGCTGGTTGCGGCCACGAGTGTCGGTCGTTGGGCCAAGGGCGCTGCACAGGGTCTCCCGCAGGCAGCCGACGCCGAGGGCGAGGACATGGCTCTCGTTCGCTGCGCTCGCCCCGACGGAGAAAGGCGACCTGCTGCTCGACCTCCCGGACACCGCCGAGCTGGACAATCCAGACGGTTATTGTCGCGATCCTCGCGCGGCTCGAACGGCAGGCTCAGAAGGCGCGTTGGGACGGAGCTCATCGCGCCACGTTGCGCCCCTTGGCGGCAGGCGAGGCTCCAGGAGGAGGGCGCTCACAGGAAGTTGGAGGAGTCGCGCCAGGCGGGGGAGGAGCGGGGCCGAGGGCGGCAGGAGGAGGCGGAGGACCGGGCAAGATGCCTGGAGGACCTGGAGGGCCAGGAGGCGGAGGTCAGAGGGTGCTGCCCCCGCAGGAGTTGCCGAAGGTGCAGCAGGCCCAGGAGGAGGTCACCCAGTCGCTCGAGCATGCGCCGCGAGACTCCACAGGCAAGCCGAAGTGCTGGAACGCTTCGTGCCACGATGGGTGCAGCAAGACCGCCGCCGCGTGCCCGATATCGCATGGGGAGAGCGTCGGGCAGGCCGAACAGCTGCGCTGGGCGATGAAAGCGCAGCTCATCAAGCGCGGGGGCCTAGAGACGGGCGTGGGGAGGCCACGGGACGCCCGCGTGGCCAAGGTAAAGCAGTTGAAGGGAGAAGCCAGGGGGGAGCGGCAGGGCAAGATCGAGAAGGGAGTCCAGCAAGCGAGGCAGCGCTCGGGCCAGGGAGTCGCGGGGGTGGACCCGCGGGTCCCAGAGGAGCGCCTGGAGGTCAACTTCGTCGCGCAGGAGGACAAGCTGCAGCGGTGCACCCAGGGCCCGCTCGCAGACTGGCCAGAGGTTCGCAGGGCCAAGGGCGCGACTTTCTGCGCGAGGGTTTCCCTACCGATATGCCAGAGGTGGCCCTCGCGCGCGCCTGGGTGGTCTGGGAGGTGGTGGATGCCCTCGACGACCGGGAGTTTCGGGGGGCGCCGCCTAGGTTGAGGTCTTATTGTAATGGTCGACTGTTGGAGGGGCAGGTGTCTGGGATCTGCGCGACCCCGGAGGAGGTGCTGTTGGGTGCGGTGGAACTCGGGGGCGAGGAGCTGGCGGGGCAGGCCCGGTCTTTCCTGCGCCAGACGATGGAACAGATAGGGTGGTGCGCCGAGGAGCCAGAGGCGCGCGCGCGCCCAGGGTGCGTCTGAGCACGGGGACGGAGACAGATGCGGAAGCAGAAACGAGGTGGCGGAAGAGGCGGCCAAGAGACGAAGCGCGCAGAGGGCCCGCCGCGGTCGCCCAGCGGGGTGGGCGCCGTGCAGCAGTGGGATTCGGACGAGTCGGGCATCCACTGCATCTGCTCGCCACCTGAGGCGTCTGCGCCGCTCCGGGCGGCGGTGTGGGGGGGCGGCGGAGGCGGCAGATAGTTTTGGGCGTCGGTCGGGCGGTTGCACGTCGGCGGGCCGGCCTGTGAAAGGGCAGACCTCAATCTGGAACGTCGCCGCCGTCGGCGGCTGCTCGGGGGTCGGGGGCCACCGGGGGAGGGGGGCGCTGACTAGCTGCTGGAGGAGGCCATGGAGAGAGCCCGCGCTTTGAGGCGCCAAATGCAGCGAGCGCGGCGCCGCTCATGCGGTTTCGCGTTCGGCTTCTGGAGGTGAGGGCTGAGCCCCCGAAGGAGGGTGCCGCGGGGGTGCCGCGGTAGGGGCAGGAGTTCGGGCTCTGGCGATTTCGAGCACTTCGCGATGGAACCGTTCATTCGCCGCGATCACTACATATGCCCTTCGGCGCGCGGATAGGGCCGCAAGGCGGTGTCCCCGGGGGGCCGGCGAGGAGGTGCGGCCGCGGCAGGTGCCGTGAAGGGGTGCCCGATCAGCCCGCGGCGATCAGGGATCATCCGAGGGCGGGGGTCGCTGGGCGAGGAGATGTGGAGGCTTCCGCGGGTGCGGGGGCTGAGGGGGGCGCGAGGAATCGGTCGGCATCGCGGCCAACTAGGAGTGGGGCCCTTTGCCAACTTCCCGTGGCAGCAGTGGAACGCGCCTCGCCGGGTCTGGGGGAGTTGCCGCTGTTCGCGGTCCCTGTGGAACGACCTCCGCATGGCGCGTTGCACTAAACAGTCCAAACTGCTTGGGGTGCGGACCCGACGGGCTTGGCGCGGCGAGCCGGGTTTCCCCGGTGGGAAAGCCTAGGCTGTCGATGGCGCCGAACGGCGTCGAGCGGCTGCGAGGCCTGGGGGCGAGGAAGTTGCCAGTCACGGCCCGCGTGCTCGAGACCGCCAGGGCGCGTGTGATGCCCGAGTTGGCACCAGATGGCGTGATTCTCGACTGCCTGATCATCGCGGCGTTTTTTCTTGATGCGGATCGGAGAGTGCGCGTCCGCCAGCTACTGAGATCATCGTGGGGTGCTGACGGGGTTGGACGCGGCGGCGAAGACGCAGGGTGGCCCAACGCGTCACTGTGCCCGGGCCGATGAGGTGGCGCCGTGGTTCAAGGCGAGCAAGGCGGACCCAGTGGGCGAGGGCGCGCGGGGCGGTTGGCGAGATCTGCCCGGCGCGGGCTGCCGAGCAGTGCCAGAGGCACTTCCCGGCGCGGGTGGGAGGAGGCAAGGAGGCGCGCTTCTTGATGGCGGGGTGGGCGGACGGCAGCTTGGGATCTGGGCAGAGGGCGTGGGAGGAGCTGCGGCGGTCGGCTGTGGCAAAGGGCTGCCGCTCCTTGAGGACCAGTGGGGCCGCGGCCCTGTGCCGCCGCTGTGGGGGCGCCGAGAGGGTGAAGAGGTGGTGCCGGTGGTGCAGTGGCGCATCCCACAGGTATTTGCGGGGGGCGCGCGAGACGGTCCAGGGCGTCACAGAGGCCGCGGCCAAGTCGATTTCCACCCTGCACGCGGGCTGCGACGCAGCGCAGGAGAGGGGCCTGAAGCGGGGGAAGCGTTGTGCGGGTCCAACAGGAGGCTGAGGGCTGGAGGAGGGGAGGGGCATGAGGAGCTTCACCCCCCCAGAGCGCTTTGAGGGTGGCCAGAGGCGCGGTGTGAGGCGTGGAAGAAATCGGCGGGTGATTGGGTGCGTGCAGCGGCGCCCCTGCTGGCAGCGGCGGCGAGGAGAAGGCGCGGGCTACCTTGGCCAAGAACCGAAGTGCGGGCGTGAGGCGATGTAGAGGAGTGCTGAAGTATGAAGTTGACCTCGAGAGTTGGGCAGGCGAAGCACTGCGCGAGGGGGCCGGCCCGGAGGAGGTGAGGCGTCGTCAGAAGTCAGGGATAGTGCCCGCCGCTGTGGCCCCGCAGGGGTGGCGCCGCGACTTGTGCTGCTGAGCGCGCGGCGCCTTACAGTAGTTGCCAGGGGACTTGAGTTGGCAGCTTGCCGCGGTGGCGACGCAGTGCCTGCCCAATCACCGGGCGGGCTTTCGCGCAAGGTGTCTGCCTGATCAGCGGGCGGGCGACGGCGCGACGTTTTGCGGCATTGGCCACATAATGAGCGCCGTGCCATCGTCATCTGCATTCTAGTAATCGCTGTGCGGTTTTCACTGCACGCCCCCAGCTCTCTTTAAATTTTCCCAGCGGCTGTTGACATCTTGGGGGCAAAACGTGGGACGCACAACTAAGTGAGGACACTCCGCTCAGTGCCTGCGGCGTGGTGGCTAATTGTTGCCGAAAGTTCAGAGGACCTCAGGGGGATTCATCACTTGCCAACTTCTCTAGCCGAAGTGTGATGTCTCATCGGGCGCCCTCCCTGTCCCTGTATAGGTCCGTGCACGGAAACAGATGCGGTGTCCACTTCCCTGGAGGCCGTTGGAGGCCTCTCTTGGGGTCTCTGGAAGCTTCGGACGCGGAGACAACAAAGTCATTCAAAACTCGATCCTCGATCTTAGATCCCGCCCCTGCGCCAGCGAGGAAAGAGGCGATGCGGAGGTACAGCGAACTGGTGGAAGTTTCCGCCTTAGTGCCGCCGCTGGGATCGGGGGTCGCCTGGCCGCTCGCCCGCTGCCCGGGGTGCAGGTTTGCGGGGGGGGGATCGGGTCAGCAGGCCGTTCCTCCTGCTTGCTCATCCTTCGTTCACGTTTCACACTTACACCTTACACCATATGATTACTACTCTCCTCTATCCCCCCCAAAAGCGGCGGTGAGGTGTCCTGGCCTCCTCCGTGTATTCATTGTTTTTTTAAAACATAATGCCGCCGAGTTGAGACTTCTAGACGCTTCGCGTAACCCCACCAGCCCATCCAGAATCGATGCCCAGAGGAATTGCCTCTAGCAGGGAAGTGGGCAGCACACAGAGGAAGGGTCCCCCAGTGGAGGCCTCTTGGAGCGTCTTGGGTGCCTCGGAGAGCTTCTTGGGGCCTCTTGGGGGTCTCTTGGGAGCATCTTGGAGGCCTCTTGGGCGCCTGTTGGGGCCTCCTGGGCGCCTCTTGGGGCCCTCTTGAAGCGCTCTGGGGAGCCTTGGGAGCTCTCTTGGGGCCATCTTGGGGGACATCGATCAAACAAGAAGCGAGCATTAGTTAGCGTTGCCCCTCGGGAGCCCAAACAATCGCCTCTTGGGGCGCTCTTGGGGCGCTCTTGGAGAGCTCTTAGGCGCTCTTGGGGCCGTCTTGGGGCTCTCTAGAGCCTCTCTTGGAGCCCTCTTGGGCCATCTTGGAGCCATCTTGATGCCTCGGATGGCCATCGGAAGCGAAAAGGCGAGAAAGCCAAACACATAGAATTTCCTAAGGTTTTGGCCTCTTCGGGGCCTCCTGGGGGAGCTCTTTGGCCACTGGGAGCCGTCTTGGAGCTGTCTTGGGGCATCTTGGAGAATCGTGGGAGCCATTATGAGTCATCTTGGGATATCTTGAGCCATCCTGGAGGTCATCTTGGGCTCTCCCAGGCGCTCTTGGAGTCATCTTAATCAGTGCCCTCCCCCCCCAAGAGGCCAACATGTGGCTAAAACCTTAGTGAAACCAATGATTTGGCATTCTCGCCGAGGCCTCTTGGAGCATCTTGGGTGCCTCTGGGGGGGTCTTTTGGGGCCTCTTGGGGGTCTCTTGGGAGCCTCTTGGGGGCATCCTGGGGGCCTCTTGGGGCTTCCTGGCCACCTCTTGGGGCCCTCTTGGAGCACCCTTGTGAGCCTTGGGGGCCATCTTTGGGCCATCTTGGGTGAGATCGATCGCAGGAGAGGGGGTGTCTAATTACAGTCCCCCCCTCAGGAGGCCAAAATGGGGTCAACACCATAGTAAAACCAATGATTTTGGCTTCCTCGCCGAGGCCGTTTTGGACGCTCCAACACCTCGCGGAACCCCCTGTCCAAGTCCAGGGGAGGGGGTAGGGGGAGGGGTAAACCCCTCCCCGAAGGGGAATAAGGAGGGGTGGAAGAGGAAACTCCCTAAACCACCGACGCCCAGAGGGCTGGTGGGATTAGTCGGCGTTTTTCAAATCTGAGAGTTTTCGGTCCTTTCAGAAAGGCGCTCCTGCTACAGCGTTGGCTCCGTTTCCCGTTCTCACCGTTCTCAGCCTTTTCAAACCATGCTCCCGCTGTGGCGCTGACCTCATGTCATTGTTTCGGCTTTTCCAAGTCGTGCTCCTGCTGCAGCGTTGGCTTCATTTCCGCACTTCCAGTCCTTTCAAATCATGCTCCAACTGCAGTGCTGGTCTTATTTCCGTGGTTTCGGTCCTTCGACATCATGCTCCCGCTGCAGCGCTGATCTCATTTTGCGCTTCCCGCTTTCCAAACCGTGCATTTGCATTTCCCGTCCTGGGTCGTTTCTGGTTTCCTTTTGACCTTGTTGTCGACATGAGTAGCGTTTTCGACGCGATGCCATGCTATGCCGTGCGATACATGCATCTTGTACCCTCTCGGGGTCATTGCCTTGTTGACATCCAACTGTGCGAATAGAGAGGGTACCTACGCAAAGGTAAGGGATGGGAGAGTTGGGTAGGACGTGAGATATGACGCTTGCGCACCTAGCTTGTCCCTCTCCCCCCTCCTCCCCTTCTCCTGCCCCTCCCCCTCACCGCCCCCCTCTCCGTTCCCCTCTCCCCTCCTTCCCCTCCTGCCTGCGCCTCCCTTTTCCCTTCTCCCTCCTCTATCCTTGCCTCCCTGCCGCCGTTGGGAGAGCGGCGCGGACGCCGCATGGGCGCCCTGGCTGTCTGTTTCAGCGATCCTGTGGCGCCACCAGGTAGCGTTTAGGACGCATCTCCTGGGAAGTCGAATCCAGTTTTCGCGTTGGTGCATCCGTGGTAAACAGCCCGCAGGATCTGGCGCAATCCCGCTCAGTCTGGCTCGGTCCCGCCCAGTGCAGCTTAAGTCTGGGATCGCTACGGTCTAATCCAGCATCGTGGCCGCTTAATCGGGCTTAACCGCCTTTCATGTTTTCACGAAGACCTGCCAGGAGTTGCTTCCTCAGAGTGTGTCGTT